CTTGGGTCAGGCACACCTTAGTTCTCAAACTGACATCTTCACTCTTGAACATTCCGAAGAGGTCTTGTGCAACAGATTTGCCTAACGCAATATGTTGGTTGATTTTTTATTTATTTATTTTTTGACTCACTACAGGCTTGCTGTGAGTAGAAACTGATTTCACGGCACATAACCAACCAACCAAGAGTAGGAAACTACCTGACAGCACTTAAACAGGAGTGTGAAGGTTCCACAGTATAAGTACAGTAAGGCAAACCACATGGCTGGTGGACTCAGAAGAAAATGAGGCTTTCTGCATCGGCAAAAATTTGAAACCTTGGAAAACCTATGTAGTTGTTGTTAAGTGCCCTTGAATCGATTCCAACCCAAAGCGACCCTGTGTAGGGTTTCTGAGGAGCAGCGGGTGAGCTTGAACCACCGACCTTACAATTCAAACAGGTTTGCAGTCTGGCACATTAACCCACAGCGCCACACCAGGACTCTGGAAAACCTGTATGGGGTCACAAAATGACCAACTATTTCAAACTGTCAGAACATACAAAAATGAGTACCAAATTCAATATATTTGCAAAGTCCTATGGAAATGTTTAATGACAGTATCTTCAGAGAATACCTTTCCAAAAAATATCCTAAAAAAATGCTCAGGATCAGTAGTCCTACCTAGGTAGCTATGTTTCAGCTATGAGCCATCATCTTTTAAAGAGAAAACAATAAATCAAAATAAGTACCTAGGATGTTTACATCCAATGAGCAGAAAGCATTTCACAAATATCAATTAAAATTTGTAATTCTAGTGCAAAGTTAAAAATTATATACATAGCAGAAGTTAAACCAAGGTTCAATTTAAATGGCTAGCCAAAGTGTCATACCAAACCAGCAACAAAGCTGCAACAATCCAAAATGCCTTCACTGCAGTTAACTATTAGGCTTACATAATACCACATCCTTCATCATAAAGCACAGATTTCTCAAAATGTTTGGACTTCAACAACTAGAATTCACTCCACAGCTAAGTATCTGCAAGAGAATAGTAGGTTTGCCTTTTTCGTTTCAGAACTCATATCGCATGCCAATGTTTTATTTTAAATAGACCAACTTCAAAAAAAAAAAAAAAAAACTACAGCTGTTTTATAAAATAGACTTTAAGAACAATGGCAGAGAAATTTCTAATTCAAAGTTAACTATTCTCTCTTCTCCAAGTATATAAAAACATGTTATCTGGTGATACTGTAGGATAAGCACTGGCCTGCGAACTACAAGGCTAGCAGTTCAAACCCACCTGCCACTCTTTGGAAAACTCTATACAACTATAAGTCAGAACTGACTCCATGGCACTTAACAACAACAACATCACAACAAAATATATTCACAACAGAGACAAAAAGAAAAAAAACTTTTAGAATCACAAAATGACATGGATTTAAAGTCAACTGAGCCTGAAGTTCCTTGGCAAGCATATCAGACTCACTGCTTTAAAAAACTCAATGGTAAGAAAGAAAAATTCACTCTCATTGCCCTAAGATTTTACTATAGGTTTTGGGGTGTTTTATTTTTTTTTAAAGACGCCTCCAATCTAACTTTAATAACTTTGGTAGCTTCTCTGACTTATTAAAGTGACAGGTTTTTAGTACTGCAAACAAGAATTAAGGTCCTAATTTTCCTATTTAAAAAATAAATCAAAGATAAAGCAATTTTATAATGCACCTATTATTTAGGCAGCAAACAAGAGGCAGACATTTACATTTTATAAACACACAGTCTACATTTTACATACACACACACCAAACCAAACAACCTACTACTACTGAGTTGATTCAGACTCACAGTGACCCTGTAGAGTTTCCAAGCCTATAAAATCTTATTAAGAATAGAAAACCTCATCTTTCTCACACAGAGCGGATGGTGGGTTTGAACTGCCAACCTTGCGGTTAGCAGTCCATTGTGTATACTATGAAATACGGATGCTCTGGCTAGAAAGTCAAAGATCATGATACTGATTTTCCCTCCCAGAAACATTTTCAAATCTTTAATACCAGTATTCTAGCCAAATATATATATATACACCAAGTAACTCTACAAAAAAACAAAATCCATCCTAATCTCATTAAAAGTTTTATAAATATAAGATTATGAAAAATTTTTTTAAATTGGTGTCCAAATTAAGCAAAAGATTCTGCCAAGTTATCAGAAATACATATACATACATTTATAACTAATGCTCTCTTAAGCTTTGTTATCTTAAATCTGCTAATCAACTAATTATCTACCGAAAAATCGTCACTTTGGTGCACCTTTATAGCTACAGTTATGATGGAAATATGTCAGGTACATAACACAGTGAATTATCATTACTACCTGCTCATTCTTCACCATATAATCTCATCACATAGATTTATGAAAATGTATAAGTACACTTACATTCATAAAGTCTCATTAAAAATCACGTGAATTTGAAATCCTTTAAGATTTTCTTTCACGTGGGATGCTTGACATTACAATAACCCTCTCTCTCATGGTACCTTACAAAAAGGTAGTCCTTTCAAGACAACCCCAGAAAAACGGTTTAAATAAATAGGCTTGAACACAATAAGCTTATCCTTTCTCATCTTTGACATTCATTATTTTTAAAAAAATCACAAATATTTACTGATTTAACACCAATGAAAGTAAAAGAAAACATCTGTAGCATCCTTATTAGATTTTCTAAGTATTCCCATTATTATTTCTACCCAAATATTTGTGGCATTAATTTACACTTACTTGACTAAAAAAATAATAATAATTATAACAAGTGTGTGTATATATATATATATATATAGCCAAACAATAAGTATCTTCTTTAGAGCAGGGATACCCGTTTTTACCCAAACCTTTCAATACCCAATCTTGCATAAAAGGGGCAAACTAAAAGCATGATGATTTTAAGACTTACTGCAGAGAAATGCCTTTGTTGCAGCAAAAATTATCAAATAACATTACAAAATACAAGCAAAAGAAAAATGCTAAGAAAGGGCAACCCAGCATTTCACAGATTCTGCTCCCTTACTCCACCCAGTCTTCTCGTCTCAATGGCTGTTCACACCATCCACAAATATAAGTCAAATTAAAAAAAAAAAAAAAAGGAGACGGAGAGGAACCAAAACAAGGCCTGCTTCATCAGAATTAGTATGTGCAGAAATATTTTTATGTAAAAAATTGGGTTCCTTCCTTTGATTTAAAAAATATTCACCAAGTATCAAATCTGTTTTTGGAGATCCTCTCCCTTTCTGAACAATCCAAACAATGATCATTTCTATTAGAACATGAAAAAAAATGTATCATGCTACAGTTATTCTTCTGCAAAAATAAAAACTACAATTTGCAACTGCCAATTATTTTGCAAAACTGTGTCCTAAAGGACACCCATTAAAGATTAAAAAAAAAAAAAAAAGCTAGCTAATGTCTTAGAACCAAACAAGAGGCTTTTTTTTTTCAATAAAGGTTAAAAGCTTTGAATATATATTCGATATATTCAAATATATATTTGAACCACATAAGCAAGCAGGAAATTTTCCTGATAAGAGATTGGACCCTGCAGCGATCAAGCCCTGCGGCAGCAAAAAAATAAATAAAATAAAAGCAAACACTACTGTGGCAAAAGGGAAGGGATGACATTATCACTGGCATGAAAGGTCCAGGCCCTATCTCTTCCATCCTAGTCTCAAAATAAAATTCACACAAAACAACTCACCCCCCAACAATAACAGTATCACCAAAAATGACACGAATTTTTTGCTTAACCTTTAAAGCGTTATGAATCTCAAGGACTGTGTGCTTAAAGTAGAGGTCAGAATAACAATATCTTTATTCTCTCCGATTGCCTCTTAAGGAAAAGGGAGGGGGAGAGCTTGGCATGACATCGCCCATTGAGAATGAGACCACAAATCTGGTTTGTCGCTTCAAAAGCACAATTTCTTAAGCAAAGGATTGGTATAAATTGGACGCAAAGCCCAATTCATACCCTCCTTCCAAGGAGTTTCTTGCTAAGTCACTGAAGAAAGGGAGAATAACAAATAAAGCCGGGCACCTTGCTCTCTCTCATTTCTGATATTGAACACCTCCCTCCTCTCTGTTTCGGGAGATGGTTAGGAGTTAAAATTTGCCTATCATCTCAAAGGCATTTTCTCACCTGGGAAACTAAAAAAGGTATATAGGTACTGCGTTTCCTAAAGGTACGGGAAATTCGATTCAATGAAGGGAAATGGATGAAGGCCTTGAAGCTCAGTGTTACAACGTCAAAAGGCAACTCCCGCTTGAGGAGCAGAAGGCAAACCTGCCTAATTTGGTGTAGGAATACTGCAGATGGGTTGGTGGGTAGTTCCACTCCTCCTTAGTGGAGGCCAGGATGGACCACCGCAAAGAGAGGGCCAGGATAGGGGTGGGCCGTCCTCCTCAGGTCAACCCCATTCTACCGGCAGGTGGGAGACCGAACGCCCGAAAAGTCCTGTAGGTGCCAAGACGGTGCGGGGCTGAGCCTGGTCCCCGAATCGTCAAACGCGGGATGGGGTGGGGACTGCGGAGCTGGGCTTCCGCGGCCTGGGAGACAAGAAGGGCCGAACCTTTTCCCCAAGATCAGAAAGTGACCTGCTCCCCACGCCCTTCCTACCCAAGAATACTTTTCTTGCTAAGTCACCAGGGCAGGAGGGCGATCCCTTCTCGGGGAGGGCCTCGGGCGGAGTCGCGGCGGCCCTACACCCCCGAACCTGGGCAGGGGAGGAGGACAGCTAGGGCAGCGCCCTCCCCGGCCTGTCCCCCCTCCTCCCAAGTCTCTCACTCAACGGCCGTAGCGGCCGCCATTTTGAGAATGAAGAGAGAAGAAGAAGGAGGCGGCGGCAGGGGGAGGGGAGAATAGGAGGGAGGGGACCGGCGCAGCCACATCGTCAAGTCGCCGGGCCCGGCCCGCAGCCGCCAGAGCGCCGTGTAAAAGGCAGAGGGGAGGGCGCAGACTCTTGTCGCCTTACCGGAGCGCTGCACCGCCGACTCCGCAGGGCCTCTTCCGTCCTTCACTCCCATCCACCGGCGGGGGAGGGGGGAGGGAGAGGGAAGGGAAGAAGGAGGGAGGGAGGGAAGGAGGGAGGGGGAGGATGGCGCGCTGGGCCCGGTCCCGGGGAGGGGGAGGGGAAGGGATCGGGCAGGCTCCTCTGCCGTTCCGGGGCTCGAGCCCAAGCCCGGCGCTCGCGGTTTGTTTCGCTCGCGCCCGAGCGTTCCCCTCCTCCTCCTTTTTGCTCCCTAGACCCGTGGGTCGCTGCTCGTTGGCTCGCTCACTCGCTATCTCGGCCGCCGGACTCCGCCGCCGCCCCGCCGCTCCAGCTCCGTCTGTCACAGGAGCAGCCCCAACGCCCTGACGTCACCGCGCCGCCGCCGCCGCCGCCGCCGCCCCAGACCCGCCGGGAAAAGGGAGGGGATGGACCCGGGAACGGAAGAGGGGCTATGGCGCATGCGCAGGATTAAGGGCATGGCTGGGTGGAGAGCCGCCGGGCTGCGTTCTGTTTAGCGGGCGCTGGTGGCCGTGGCGGATGCGGCTTGGCGGGCATCCTAGGTCGCGCGTACTGATTTGCCGACAAGGCCCTATTCTCGCCTCAGAGACATCGGAAAAAGGCTTAAGCCTACATATGATTGTTCTGGACCCTCAAAAACTGACTGCTCTCCAACCCGTCCTGCTTTTGCCGCATCCGTCGCTCTCCCCGTTTCCCCAGAACAACAGCAGGGACCCATTTGCACCCGTGGATTCCTGACCCCGATAGATTCAGGGAGAAACTAAGCATGGGCCTAAGCTGTCGGCCCTGCTGCCTCCTCCTTAGGGTTTATATCTCAATTTGGAGGGGGGAAGAGGGAGATGTGGAACTGGATTGGCTTCAGAGAGAAAGGTGTTGAGGTTAAAAGGCTGCCTAATTGTCTTCATTTTTGAATTACAGACTTCTAATTGGAAGAATTTGCTTTTAGATGTGCTTCAGCTATTCTTTTCCTTCGTTACACACGTATCAGAGACTTCTGGGTCTCGAAACTGATGGAAGCCCAAAGAAAGATCTGGACGCGCGCACATGTGTGTTTGTGTGAGAAAGAGAGTTGTGGGGTGAAATATTGATGAACTAAACTGCTCAGTCTTGTGCCATCTTCGTGACTATTTTTTGTTCTATTTTGTGACTATTGTGTCAATCCATCTCATTGCAGGTTATCCTTATTTTCGCTGACCGTGTACATTACCGAACTTGATGCTTTCATCAAGACAGGGAACTAAATCAAATGGTCTCTGGGAGGTCTTTTCCAGGTTTACAGTTGTAGGAGTTTCCTGCTTAGATAAGGACAAGATGAGATACACAGCTTGGTCTGTGCTGTTGTGTCCAATAACAGTCAATGAACATGAAATAAATTAACTTCTATTGTCCTAGAAATCCAACTTCATTTCATTTCCACCTTTCAAAATATTATTGCTTGAGGTTGGAAATAGAAATACCTTATGATCCAGCAATTCCTCTACTTGGTATTTACCCACAAGAAATACAAGCCATAACAAGAGTAGATATATTCACACCAATGTTAATAGCAGCACAATTTACAATAGGAAAAACATGGAGATAGCCTAAGTGCCTATCAACTGAAGAATGGATAAACTGAGGTACATACACACAA